CTATGTACCTCATCATTTATCTCATAGGCACTTCTCGAAATGTAAGTAAGTTAAAGACGTTGAAGGCATAACTCTGTTTCTCCCTCAAAAAAGTTAGCTCGGTATTAGTATGGGGCCACAATCATCACAAGAGTGTTGTCGTCTGACGGTCATGCTATCCGTTGAGTGGTAGGACATGTAGTATGACGTCATATAGCATTAACATCTCATGACAGAACATTTGCGAGACGGGGCATGACCCATTAAGAAGGAGCAGCTTGTGTTCTGTTCAGTCAATACCGTCGACTGTCAGAGGGGCTCAGTTTCGGACTCGGAACGGGCGCGGCGCCACCCGTTCTCTGCCAACTTTTAAAGTGAGCAAGCGACGACATTTGGTAGAAATCGAGCTGGAGTTGCGTCAAATCCACCCCTCCCCCTCCTGATACGCCCGTACGTCTGCACCGCGAATGACTGTTGTGAGGTTCCTCTTCCACATGAGATGATCATTTTTTGAAGGTTCTTTTAGCAGCTGTAAAAGTAATTATGATTAAAACAAAAGTGTATGCGCTTGATGACTAACTCCGAGAAACGTAGATACCTCAGGATGTTCTAAATAAGGTCCTGCTTGTCGCAGCTGAATCAAAGCAAGAGACCGAGATCCTTTGTGATCCGTTTGGAGAGTCCAAGAGAGATGAGCGAGAAAGATTACAAAACAAGCAAGACGCCTGACTCCAACAAGCGGCGTGATCACTTGCATCCATGTGAAGCCACATGAGCAACGTGAAGCACCTAGCTTACAACTTTCTGACGTGGTACTGGTACATAGTCATCCGTAGTGGCCCACTCTACCATTCATCGTGCACAGCTTTTGTTTTCACAAGTAGTCGCGAAACGTGCCTTCAATGTGACTTTTCTGAGAAAAACTCATTTTAAACAAGTATCTAAACTACATCTACAATCTCTTTTAAACAAGTTTCTAAACAAATCTCATTTGTAAGCTGGCAGTCGGATCGCCCGCCTTCGGCAGCCTTTCAACCTTAGCCACAGAAAAAAAATTTTTTTCTGCAATTCCAGAACATTACCGTTTCACATTTGGTATATACCCCCCCCCCGCCCCCCCTAGTGGACGGTTGTAAAATTTTCGTAAAGTCCAAGGCACGTGGAAGTGGAACTGATGCTCTGGATTGCTCAGTGGAAAGCTGAAGTGGTAGTATGGGTGTATTTGGATTGTTGTAGAATAAATAATAGGTAAATAAGTAAATAAACAAATAAATAAATACAAATAAGTTACAAATTTTCGATTTCGACCTCATGTTCACTACTATTCTCATTTGTCTTGAGACAAAAATATAACTTTTGCCCCTTACTTTTGCTGAGGTGTCTCTCCGTTACTTCATCTGGCTTTCCGCTGTCGCCCTTCAAGCACATTACCATCCTTCGGGTTCCTCAGGATACGTTTTAAAAATTTTTATCCATGGCACCGTTCACTTCCCCCGGTGCCCCGCCCATTGTGGGCGGAGCCTAGGTTACCTTGTAGGTGTTCTGTAAATGTTGTCCCATGCCACACCCATCCCAAGCTTGATCCGTTCGCCAAAAATGATTTTCCACACAGTCCCCAATTTTCGGGCGAACACGCAAGCATACAAACACACACACACACACACGCACACACAACTTCTGCTTTATATATAGAGAGGATTGTACTGGGCTCATCAAAACGTTGGCACAAGCGCTGCTTCTGTATGGTGAATTGGACAAAATTATCCCTGAAACGCCAACAATTTCTCGAGGTACTTACCGTTCATGTCAAGTGTTCGTAAACCAAGTGGGGAATGCAGATTCGCGTCCTTTTTTTTGCTGTTGTAAGGGGGTTCCCAACTTATTCTGTTGAGAACCTTCTAAGGTTGGAATCTGCTCGTCTCCCTGCATTCAATTTCACCTTAATTTCAGAAAACAACTTTCAGTAATAAAAGATGTCTTTGTCATTGCATGTTCATGGAACTGCTCACGCTGAGACTTGCATCTCAAGCGTGGGAACCTGCGTCTATGTGAAACATTTGCTGAAGTTATAAAAGCATTACACATCACTGGAATCAAAATTTACTAGAATCACGCAAATTATCCATAAAGAGCTCACAGTATTCAACTACCATCTGTTGCCACAGAAGGTCGCACTTGGATTAGACTGCTGTCCTGCCTATAAACCTGTAAGGCGTGCGCAATATGAATGGTAGCCCGACACATTCATGCCACTCTGTATCAGGAGAATGAACTTAGGAACGTGGATGTGTACATACTTCAAAAAGTTTTAATGTGCTTCTGTACACAGTTCATTTAGGTCTTGATGCATATGTTTTTACCCCGACTTTTGTAAATATCGTCAAAAGCAGGCGGAGGTGTGTTAGTGACAAGTGTGTGCGCTACGCACTTCACGCGACGCCGGTTTCGAATTCGCAGGGTCGATACCGCCCAGGCCAACCGCCACTTTCCACCCTCGCGGACGCGTAAATTGGTACCAGATTCGTCTGGGAGGATAAAACACTGATTTGTACATCGGCTGGCCACCGCAAGTCATTGTATAGGCCACATCGCATTCAATAAGCCACTACGATTCTGAATGGAAAGTAGAATGCGTGCCGCATCCCAAAGGGATTGATCAACGGCAAAACTTTATCCTTTTTATTATTATTCTCCAAGAAAGCCGGGAAACCACCCTGAAGATTAGAGGTATGCACCATCACCATCCACTACTCGACGCCAGCGCTCAGGCAGCTTGTCGATTCCATCCTTCCAGAACGACGGGGGCTGGGACTTGAAGAAGTCGTCGAGTGCCTTTCTGACCTGATCCTTTGTTTCGAACTTTTTTCCGTCCAGATAGCGCTGCAGGTGGCTGAACAGCCAGTAGTCAGAAGGAGCGAGGTCAGGGCTGTAGGGGGTGGGCGACCATCAGCCATCCGTACTTCTCCAGCTCGGCCTGGGTCGCCTTTGCAGTGTGAGGTCGGGCGTTGTCATGGTGGAAGTAGATTTCCGCATTCGATCCACGAGTACGGTCGACGTGATCTTTCAATTTCCGCAGCTGGGTAACGTATGTGGAAGCGTCAATCGTCTGTCCCTTCTCCAGCAGCTCCCAGTACTCCATGCCTCTTCTGGACCACCAGGACAGGAGAACCTTTTTGGGGTGAAGGTCGGCTTTTGGGGTGGCTCTGGCTGTTCTCTCGTCGAAACCCTGCACTGCCGCTTCCTCACAGGGTTATCGTAGAGGACCCACTTCTCATCTCCAGTGATCATCGAGTTGAGAAAGTGAAGCTTCTTTTGTGAATCGTGAAGCAAAACCAGGCAGTGGCGCAGGTACATTTTGTCACAGTGGTAATTGTGCGACATTGTGGCCTGCAAATGCAAGGTGGGTGAGTGATAGCTAGTGTGATAAAAGAGTATAATGCACACGTCACGCACACGTGATGACGATATACCAACATCCATGCAAACGAAATACGGAAGGATCAAACCCGTGGTTAAAAACATATGCATCAACCTAATATATGAACAACTACATCCGTCTTACAATGGAGAAAAACATGATGGCTTTTGTTCCTGAAAGGGAATATCTCTACAAAAAATGGTGCTATTCCCACTTTCAAATGAAGTACGTAGCCATGCTGTCCCCATCCGCGCCATATGATAAATGCAGAAGACCGGAGGATAGATCACTGCCCTTTTCCTGTTCTACCTTCTGCCGACCGTAGCTTGCTACAAGATTCGTCTAGAAGGATGAGAACGCTACTTGTACATTGGATGGAACCCGAAAGTGATCGTATTGGGTATAGCGCATCCAATCGCCGTTACGATTCTGGATAGAAGTAGAATTCGTACAGCATCCCCTAAAGGATTTGATCAGCTACGAAAGTTTATCCTTCACTACTTTGGCTGTCGCGCACTTCTGCCTTTTGAGGCCCCTTGTCAGCCCTTGTCTTTGAGGGCCCCCTATGTAACCTAACAATTTGAACTCTCTGCGACTAATATACAAGGAAGTTATGGACTTTCGGTCAAACACACAAACACACACCAGCAAACAAACATAGCGAATTATATCTAGTAAGATCTTTTATGAAGCCGTTTGCTGAAAACATTGCCTCATCTAAACTACGTTTTGTACTGGTTGTGACTCGACTGTGTGCAGTCTGATAGAATAATGCACTCCACTTTGCAGGCCCATCTCGATATCGCCGAATCTTACGTTCCTTGTACAGAATTAGTGACGCCGCTCGCACCAACCAGATGGTATGCTTTGCACGTCGCAGTAGTAGCTAGTCTTTTTGGGATTGAGCCTCATGAGGTACGATTTTGTGTTTCGTCTTTTCCTTTGACTGCGTATTCATCGCCTGTTCCATGGAATTTTTCAAAACACATTTCAAAAAATTTCAATACAAAATCTGAGTTCTAAAGTTACGTACTGCCTGAGAGGCGAGCATGGGCAAATACGGTGAGAAGACACAGAAGGTGAGAAAGACACGTGTTTTACTGGAGAATGAATGACCCACTAGCGTAGAGCGAGTTCAATGGTGATTTGGAGTTGTAGAAAAGCGCTTCAGTAGAATTCACTTCGTAGAAAAGCGCTCCAGTAGAATTCACAAGGTGTAGAAGTGGATTCGTCGAAGCTCTGAGCAAGCCATGAATTTCCGAATGAGCTACATACATAGACTTGTTCAGAAGTCTCATTCTTGCAACGAGAGACATTGATGAGTGATACGACGGTACTTTTGATGCCATCAGATGAACAAAAATTGAAGAAGTTCCAGGTTCTGAACGAGTACTATCGCGATGTCGCTGCACGGCAATGGATAGTACGCCACACGTTTCCATTGAATGCCCTTACGAAGAAATTTGTCACAAAGTGGGCAAGTTGATGTCTAGACAAGTATGATAATGGTTGCCGCCACATAATTTTCGAAAGGATTTCAAGGAATCACCTAAATAGCAGGAACACGTATCACACTGCTATGGAGCAGTTCGGCGACGGGGACATTGCACTTTAGCTACTTCCAATCAAGCGCCCACCTATAGAGCCTTTTCTTGAGTGGACAGGTTTTACTGCTGTGGCTCGACGATTCACCAGAGTGGGACTTATAGACCGGAACTAGTGAAGCAGCGAAAGTGCAAAATGCCCCCCGTCGCCGAACTGCGCCCACTGCTATATTTTTAGATGGTATGATATTCGTGAGGTGTATCTGTAGACAGTGGTGCATCTAGCGCACATGTAGTCCGTATATTTGCACTTGTTAAAACCAATAACCGCTCCACTTTTTTTGCGGTCGATTAAGTGGTATCAAACTATAGAATACTGCATTCCTATATGTCGAATAACTTCATTGCGTGGGCCGTGGTATAGTTGTCGTAATCCAGCGAAAGTGTCAGAAGGCGTGTAACGAGCCCACTCAGGGCTCTTTTCCTGTGCCAGTAGTGGTAAGGAAAAAATCAACCAGAGGTAGTACATGAGGTGCGTGTTCGACTCCCCCTGGGGTACGACTTTTGCCCATAACTCAGCATTCTTGTGATAACATTCGGAACGCGTACTGCGGCGTTAAACAGCAGTTATCATAACAAAACAGCTTCAAAAACTTGTAAAGCCTTCGGCCTCGCGGTTTCATGCCGATATCCCATCGATTACGGCTGACCGGCTCACCAAGTTAAACGTGTGAGTGCTGATAGGCTACGGCATAAAAGCCGTTAAGCTGAGAGGGTAAAAGCGGCCCTGGTGGCGTAACGGATAGCGCACTCGCCCGGAAAGCGTGAGGGTTGGGGGGGGGGGGTACGATTTTTTGCGGGGGTACGATTTTTGCTCATAACTCAGCATTCTTGTGATAACTTTCCGAAACATTTAGTCAAACTGGCTTCTATAGACAAGCCTACACAAGAGCCAAGCATCTCAGCTTCTTAGCCGAATTCATGGTGCCCACACGGAAGAGATCAATCTTTTTGCGTTCACTCATTTGAACGAGAAGCTGTGTTTTGGGGTCAGACAGAGGTTTACGAAGGAGTTCTGCGGCGCTGAAGGAAGCTTAGGAGTCGCTCGCACCTTACAAATACCCATCTGAAATACACCTATGTCCCTCGCGTGTAACAAACATCGAATGTGGATATCACAGTTATTATGTACTTGGTACCAGACAATTAATTGGCTATAGTGGCCGTGGGCATAAGCCCATCATTCGGGAGCGTGACTTCGAGCCCGAAGCCTGTCTTGGTCACGGATATCGTCCACGATGCCTCCATAAGCTCCTCCTTCAGACGATGCCATCCTCCACGAATAGATGTCTCCGCAGATGCTTGAAAGGCCTATGTCATCATCGATCATCGGCGTGATTCATCCGACCCTGCAATATGTTTTGGAAAGCGAAGAACCCTTTTTCGAATTGCTTTTTGGTCACGTACCATTACTGCTAAAAAAGTTACGGTCGTCAAACAATCAGGAAGCGCTCACATTTCGCTTACATAAAACCCATCGAAAAACTTAGCAGCTTCAATGGATACCATGCCGCCATCGATGTGCCCTACTAATTCTATCCCTGCTAATAGCTATCCATCTCTTCCTACCGCATTCAGGAAGTTATGCTAAACAGCAACCGCTGTGATGCCCCTCTTTTGTAACAAATCTGTTATGTCCTTACCAAACGTCAGTAGTACCTCCCGCCCTTCTCGTGATTTCTAACTCCTCTTACAATTAGACTTGGTCAGTTTGACCTGCAACTGAGCTATTCTTTGCCAGAATCCGCGCCCCTTCAGTATTCTCTCTGGTCTTTCTGCCCACCGCCCCGATTGCTTGTTGCTTCTCTTTTTACCTCCTCACGCTCACGTTAATGATCATGCGGTCACCACCGCTCTCATTTACAGTAATGCATCCCTCTTCTGAAAGGACTTCTTACTCCTGAGGAATCGACCTTGCCAGTATCCCATTCCTCCAAGCCCTCAGCTCTGTTGTAGAAATTTTCCATTCAGAAAAACAGCTTAAATGCTTTTCTCGTTCTTCACCAATCAATCATCAAGTCGTGAGGGAATAATGCACACATCTGACTACTCGAAAACTGTGCCATATCTGACTACTGACCATAAAGGTATTCACCTTGAACGATTGTGAGGATGGCTTGGCTTTCATGCAGTGAAATGCCCTGGTCGGAATCCAGAGAAGTCCACTATGAATACAGTATTGGACAGGAAAACTTACTAGGAGACTACAAGGTACAGATAGCGGCCCTGCTGGCCAGTGGAAGCTGGGCCAAGAGCAGTCGCTACGTTATACTGCATAGCGACCTTCTGTATAAAATTGCGAAAAAAAACATAAATAATTCAGTACAGGACAGTATATTTGGAGCATGTAGTCCTGAGCGAGGGAGTTTAAGCTTTTAACTGAAGTTATTTTTCAAGTCTTCCTGGTGACATACTTGATGATGAAATTACCCCGAATGCTAGCTATTAAATTCCATTACCTGGTAATTGAGCATTTCCGTTTCGAGTTCTATTGCTATGACATGAAAAGCTTCGAACAATATACGAATTTCTTATATAGTTGAGAGGGAAGACTGGCCCGCCGTTGTTGATAATTAAGAGAAAAATTTCAAGCAGAAAATTTCAGATTCAACTCAAGATTCATCAAGAACGGATATGACGTTCGCAGCGGTTCATCTGTTGGTTCTTTTCTCTGTAACTTTGTATTAGAATGAGAACCAATTTCACATTCCATCACTAAAATCATAATTCAGGCTAAGAAAGTGGCCATCAAAGAAAAAGTTAAAACAGAAGAAGAAAAAGAAGAAGTAATTACAACTGGAGGAAATTTTTGAAGAAGATCAACGTGTTCAATTACTCGTTCTCAATTCAGAAGTTCTTTACTCGATGGGGCTGTTATTAAACATTCGACTCTGTATGTGTTCAACCTCACTTCTGCGTACATTAATTACAGTAGTATTTAAAAGAAAGCATGATTATCCTTCAGAGGGACGTGTTTCGTAAGATGGAGCAGTATTGCTTCAAATATGGTCTGGTCCTCCAACAAGGGATCCCCTCCAGGCCGATCAGACCATTTGCAAAGCGGTGTGCACTACGTGCCTTTTCCGCTCAGGTTCAGGCTAAGCAAGGGGAAAGATCACTATTGCAAGCAACTGGAAAGGGCGGTTCTCTACTAGTTTCTCTAATTCTACTAGTAATCGGCTTAGCACGAAACCACCCGAAGTGTGCGCAACACGTTCCGGGGTCAAAACTCGCTACCCTACTGACACATAGCGTGAGCTAGGCTCCGCACGGTGGAACCTCGGTGAGTTGTGCGCAGTTATTACTGGGTTCTTCGGGGGCGTTCGGGACACGACGTCGGAAACGCTAGAGTGGGGAAGGCGCTTGATCGGGTAGGTGACAAATTAAAGCTTCGAGCCATTTTCAGGCCTCTGAAGAAGACGAGAAGGTCGAAACGTCGGGCCAATAAAAAGGTTCTATCTAACAACCTCGTTTGGCAGAAATAACTAAACATTCTTTTTGTTTTCTATACATTCCTTGCTCCTCGTTTTTGCATGAGTGACCTGTATCTACATTTTCCTGTCATCCCAAATCCCCGGTCGAATTGTTTT